CCCAAAAAGTTCAACTTGCCTCTTGAAAAAAAAACACATTTGGGGGTGGCCAAATTAGGCGAAGCCAGCTGCAGGGTTAGAGCCGTGTGAACCTCTCCTGCCCAAAGGGAAAAAGGAGGAATGAATCTCAGGAGCAATCGGCTTGGGTTCCCCCCACTTCCGCGGGGGAGGTGCTGAAACCCCTCTTGGGGAGGGAGACTCCCCATTTTATATAAATAAACATACATACAAACAATATATTAATAATATATTAATATATAAATAATATATAAATATGTTTATATTTATACCTGCTATATTGTACATGTTTGACAAACTAATACGGTATATACAAATATTTTCCCACGGTTTCCAAGATGGGCCTACCTGGACGGATCGAACACTGCAATGTCCGCTCCGGGCCTGTAGAGGTCACTATAGGTACGAGACCGGGCGCGGGGAGCTCGTCAGGCGCCTGCGCGGGGTCCTTCATGGGAAAGGCGTCAAGATGGCGGCCGCACGGCGTCTGGGGGCGGCGCTGGGGGGCCGGTAGGTGGCGGGTCGGTTGGGAGGGGCGCTTCCCAGAGCTGAAGGGACCCCCGTATTAAAATCGCCCCTTGCCCTCCCCCCCGTTCTCCTCCTTGGCCAGCCCCACCGAAAGACCCCACCTCCACGTAGTTCCTTGAACTCCAGCGCCCATCATCCCCAGCCAGGCGCTTCCCCTACCCTCAGCAGCCTCTGCCACCCTCTTTCGCGTCCCCCCTTATTTGCTGCTATGGGTGTTGTTGTCCGTCCCACAGCAGGGGGTGGGGAAGGGGGGGGTCCTAAAGGAGATTCAACTCATTTTTTCATCGTCCAACTCCCACCCCCCTGGCTCTCTCTAATGTGCTCTGAAGCTGTCAATCATCCCTTTGGGTTCAGAAACAGCAACACAGAAACTCTCCCCCCAAAGGTGCTGAGGCTTCTTGTAGGACAAGGGCGTCTCACCTGGGCTATTAGGAGAGAATAGAGAATACAGAACATGGAAAACAGAATAGAATATAGAATAGAATATAGAATAGAANAATAAACATTTGATAACAATCTAAAACAATCCAAGAGTTACAGAATTCCTACTTATTAGTCACCAAAATCAACTGATTTTTTTTATTATCAACTTTCATTATCAACCTACATCCTTCCAGTAACAAAAAATATTATCTCTCTTGACAGTTCAAAGTCACAATCGCATTGAAAAAAGGGAGTTATGGCCCTTTCCCACAGTTATGACTGTTGTAAAGTCCCCACAGTAATGAGGTCAAAACTCAGATGCTTTGCAACTGGTTCATATTTATGATGGTCACAGTGTTTTGGGCCCTCATAGGATCTCTTTTGCGACCTTCTGACAAGCAAAGTCAGTGGGGAAGACAGATTCACTTATCTATAGTGTTAGTGACTTAAGTCACTGCAGTAATTCGCTTAACAACGGTGACAAGAGTTTATAACATGGGGCAAAACTCACTTAACTGTCTCACTTAGCAACAGAAATTTGCTAAGCTCAGTTGTGGTCTTAAGTCAAGGACGATCCACATTTTAATTACTCTTTGCCCAATGAGATAAACATGATTTCTTTTTTTCAGCCCCATCTGAAGAAGACGATGAAGTTGTATTAATGATAAAAGAGCTATTGGATACCAGAATCAGGTACCCTTGTCTGCTGCCTATGCTTTCTATATATAAAGCAGTGTTTATGCTGGCTTGGGAATTCTGGGAGTTGAAGTCCTTCTTGTGCCATATCTGTCACCGGACGTTGGCGCTCATGTTGGCAATCCTATTTTTGTCAACAGCCGCACGAAAAAGTGCCGCTGAGTTTTGTCCAAACCATCCTGTAGATTTGGAAGCCACGATGCTCTTCTTCTGCCTGGACCTCATTTGCCTTCAATCTTTCCCTGGAGGTGATTTCCTGGGGTTCCTCAGGGTTCGGTCCTATCCCCCCTTCTGTTCAATATCTACATGAAGCCGTTGGGTGAGATCATTCGGCAGCACGGGATAAAATACCATCAGTACGCAGACGATACCCAGTTGTATCTGTCCGCCCCGTGCCAACTCAGTGAAGCGGTTGACGTGATGTGCCAGGGCCTGGAGGCTGTCAGGGTCTGGATGGGGGTTAACAAGCTTGCGCTCAATCCAGACAAGACCGAATGGCTGTTGTCCCAAAAATTTGGCTAGTACTCCATCACTCA